GGGAGGGTCGCCGGAGATGCCGTGGTACCAGAAGTTCATTTCGTACTTGGAGATCAGGTCGGGGGCGACGACGGTACAGAGGTCCGCGTCGTTGCTGAGCTCCGAGCAGAGGGTCTCGGGCTCACTGCGAGTGGGAGAGGCGTGCCGGCGAGCGTGGGCCGAGTACTTGCGCTTGAGACAATCGACCGCGAAGCAGATTACGGCCGAACGGGAAGGTGCGAGTAAGTGAGATAATGAAACGCGCAAAAATAAGATAGTGTGACTTACAGCCTAAGCTAACGGGATCAGCCCTCACCCTTGACGACATTTTCGGGCTCTTTTGCAACGCGTCTACCCGTTCATAGACAACAATGAGATGAGCGAGACATGGACATATGCAATCAAAGCTTTGGGGCTCACTCTCGCCTAGGAACCCGAGGGCAAGTCGAAATAAGCTACATCTATGAGAGAATAAATCAGTTTACGAGGGGTGATATCAAGAAAACACAAGTAATTAAATTGCCAATGCGAGTAGTAGCGAGTTACTTGGGCGGTGAGCATAGTAGCAGAGACTCACTGAAACAACTTGAGTCGCACGAGGAGCCTTAAACTTGTTACTTGAACGCGCGCTTACAGATTTTCACAGGGAAGCATAAGCGCTCGGATAGATCCGGATGCGTCTATTCACTGGCAGAAGTATGTTCGCAGAAGTCAACGGTCTATACACGAGACCGACTCGGAACGCGGTATCACTCCGAGAGTCTCCCTCTGTGTCCTTGTCTACCTCTCTCTTGTAAATGCCGTATTTATGGACAGTCAGCTTGGCTTAGCATTGTATACAAGGTCATCAAATCGTTCATCCCGGTATCATAAGCCACTCCTTCAAGGTATGCCCAGTTACCATTACCTGGCAGCTGGCTATTCCAAGTCGACAGCCTAAACGTCGACAGCAGGTGCATTTGGTCTCCTACCTTCGAGTTTATCGTGAAGGCTATCAATGTGTGCTACCGGGCTGCAGGTACAACTTGTACTAGAACAATCTGTCTGTCTACAGAGCACGGGCCGGTCGCTTACTTACATGCATAATACATAGCGCTGTTTCGCTAAATTCTTCCATCAGTGCCTAAGTAATCTGAGATTCGACACTCACGCCAAAAAAAACTGCGCAAAGGGATCGTCTGAACAGCCTCAATGGCGTCTCACCTCCCAATTGGACCCCATGGGGCACTGGACATCGACAGACGGGCGGAACAGCACACCTACTGCTCGTCCGCAGCCTGAGAACAACAGGCCGCCGTAGGCCTAGGGTTTAACGGCACGCGTAGCTAATCTACCCGAGAATTACTAGTCAGCTGTGCGCCTCGCGCGTCAGCGCGACGGCATCATACTTCCCAACATCGTCTCGATGCCCGCTTGCGACATGCATGCGCTATTGCGCACTGCGCAAGGGGGAGGACAGGCCGCCGAACGGCGATGTGACCCATCATGCCTCCCGACCATCGCACCGCGAGAGGTTTTGGCATGGCTCTCCGAGGCTCGTGCCGTCGTAGTTTGGCCAGGCCGCCTGCGCGCCGTGTCTTGGCAACACGGAAGCAAAACATATAAGTAAGTGGACGTGCAGTTCCGCAAAGATCACTCACTCGTAACTTTAGACTGTCGAACCCGCCTCTCTTCTCTCATTTACTATGCAGTTCAAGACCGCCATCGTCATCGCGAGCGTCGCCGCCGCCGCTCTCGCCGCTGTAAGTCGGCATCTCCCCCTCAGGCATACTGGTCGCGTAGATGTTGATGTCACGGCTGCAGCCCGCCCCCGATGTGCAAGGGAGTGACCTCTCGGCTAGCAACTTCACGTTGACCACGGCGCTCACGACGCAGACATTTACCGCCAGTGTCGTGCTCGAGAGCTTCCAACCTAGTGCGTGGTTTTTTAGTCACATCGATTTGACATGGCTCACCTGTACTACCCAGAGGAACCGTTTGTCACCACCATCTCGACTGACGACGTGTTCACCGTCACCCGCACGGTGACCAGGGTGGTCGGGCCGACCAGCCCTTCTACCGCGACCCCGCAGGCTTAGAAGCATTGATATTCGAGGAAGTCCGAATCGGTTTTTTTAGTGTTCTTGTGGCCGCTGGACGGGCGTTTGGCCGTCAGGACGGTCACTTAATTCTTGGGGTGTCATGTATTGTACAGTCATCCAAAGTCAACGAGTGCACGAATTGTAATGAAGTTGTAGCGCGATCGTGCGGTGGCCCGTAGGCGAACCCACATTTGAAGACCTGAGTTCAATGAAGCCATGATCATGAGTCGTCTCCAAATTGCTGGGAATCATTAACAGCATTCACTAGTGCATCCTGATCGCGCCACTTCCAACAAAATTCAATAGCCTCACACATGTTCTTACTGAAGTATAGTGGTGGTCCTTATGGGGTTTTCGAACTTACTGCACTTTCATACGGGGATTCATAACTCGCACACTAACCCGTACCAGCCAATCATACTTAATGCGCAGCAGTAGCGATCAAGCCTCCAAACAAGAAGTCCATCTGTGTGCACATGAGCGGTAACATACAGCAAATCGACAAGGTTTTATACAAGGACAGACTCCGAAAGCAACAAATGTACGCACAAAAACGCCAATGCCGAAGGCTGCACCCAGCACACACCTCCCGCAACCCACATCCTCTCGACGAGAGACGAGAACAGGAGGTACTAATGGTGCCCGGGCCCGCTGTAGTGGAATTGGAACCCGCCACCAGGGAAGTTGAATCCGCCGCCCGGGTGGAAGAACTGTCCGAAACCACCTGGGAAGCCGCCGCCCTGGAATGGGTTGCCACCCTGCTGCGCCGTAGGGTCGTTTGGGTCGTCGCCATTGTCAAATCGCTGGCGCAGTTCTGAGGTGGGTCAAAGGTGGGTCAGTATGGAGACACCAGATTGGCTGGCGAGCCGCGAGAGTCGGGCGCCTACCTGGGTTGTTGAGTACCTCATACGCTTCGTTAACGGCAGCCATCTTCGCTTCGCTGCCACCCTTGTCCGGATGCGCAGTCATCACTGCTTTCCGGCTGCGCGGGCTGAGCGATGCGGTAAACGGCTCGCAGTATACGCTACTTACTATGCCTTCTTTATCGTCTTCGTGTCCGCATCGCGGGCAACGCCAAGGACTTTGTAGTAGTCCTTCTGTTTCGACTGCTTGAGCAACCGCTGCGCACGTTGCAACTTCTGGTGGATCTAGAGTATCGACATGTTAATGTTAGGTGCCTAGTCACAAAAATGAACACATGCCTCGCGATCCGATCTCCCGCTGGCCTCGAACGCACGCTCCAATACACGGACGGCCTCTTCCCACTCTTCGTTGGCCATCAGCGCTTCCGACCGTCCGATGACTGCGTCCCCGTCGTTCTCCATGCCCTCCATCTCCAAGAGCGCGTTACACCACTGGTCGCCCTTCTTGGCCTGGTTCAGTTTCACGTACGCTCGGCATAACGAACGTAGCATGACGGCTCGTCGTGGTGACGCACGTTTGCCGTCTGGGATGGGAATTTGGGGATGGACTTCGAGTGCGTCACGAGCGGTGTGTTCAGCCAGCGCCGCATCGAATTTCTCCATGAATTCGTCGCTCCCTGTCTCGTCCTTGCCGAGGAGCAGTTTAATGACTCCTCGCCAGTCCTCTTTCTGAACAAGTTTGTCAAGGTTCTTGAAGCTCTTGTCGAACGCTTTGACTAGCCGATGAAGCGAGAGACATTTGGGCGAGTCGGGATCGTAGTGTAAGCACTGCTTCAAGGTAGACAACGCTGGGGATAGGGGTTCTGTTGACGAGCTGTAGGGAAAGAGGAAGTACCCTAGTCTCGCCATCTTCATCCATACGGATGTCGTGGGTGTCGATAGCTGCGCTAGACGACTGTAGCTCCTTTAGATAGGATGCGGAGGCTGGAGATAGGTAGTGACGTACGAGAGGTCCGCTACAGCACCTTCGATGTCACCGGCCGCAATGGAGCAATCCGCGCGGTGCTGCCTGAGCTTCACCGAGTGTGATGCCGTAGAGAGAGCCATAGACGCAGCTTCAACACAGGCCTGCCAGAGCTTCGCGCGAATCGCCTGTGTGACTTTCTTGCTCGCCAGCTCTCCCTCCGTGATCGACATCATGACCTCCTGGGACGCTTGGTCGCCCTTGACTTTGGTGGAGTACTTCCGCAGCGCGTCGCGCGCATCCGCGTACTTTCCCTCCTTGGCGAAAATGCGTGCCTTCATAAGGTTCGCCTTGTCAAATGTGTCATGGGTGAGGCTGAGCACTTGGTCGAAGTCGGCGAGAGCGGCCGGGTGCCGACCGAGTGAATAGTACGCAGTAGCACGTTTGTAGTACAATAGGTAGTCGGCCGGAGACTGCTCTACAGATTTGATGATATATTAGCACCTGCTGCCATCGTTTCGAAGTCCACCTCCTGCCGCATCCTGCAGTGCTTGCGACGGGGGTCGAGCTCTTTAGGCTTCCCTGCGCCACCATCCCACCGCGGAATCCTCAACGATTACTTACCTATGGCTTCGGAATATGCCCTCGCAGCATCATTGAATTGGCCAGCAGTCAGAAGAGTGTCGGCGCGACTGATTAGTGGCACAAGCCCAGGGGGGTAGAGAGCGCCGCCCGAGCCGGAGAGTGTCTGCTGGTCGGCGCTAGCGGTGTAGGCGAGCCCAACGAGCAGCAGTGGTAGTAGGATAGATAGTCTAAGAATCATCGTGAGGTCCTGTATAGCAGAACGTAGATTGGGACAGCGCCAGCAAAGGCCTGTAAGCGGAGGAGGAGGAAAGCGGAGAGGAGGAGGAGGATGGACGTCAGGGTTCGAGTTATGGGCTTCCCGATTGGGACGAGGACACGTTAGCAGCTCGCCATGTGCTCCGTGACACGGAGTAACATCGGCGCTCGGAGGAGTAACGGATGTGCACTTCACGTTCCGCCTCCCAGTCGGCACTTCCGAGGTGAGCTAGAGCAGCACTTTACCTACTTTTGTGAGCTCAGCCCCATACCGCCCGCCTAGCTCAATCGGATAGAGCGTCAGACTCTTAGTGCGGAGGCTTCGGTCACCGGTACCCCAAGCGTCATCTGAAGGCTGCGAGTTCGACCCTCGCGGTGGGCTACAGGCAAATGTTTTGGCACGAATCATTCCACCTATCCTGGACGACGACCAAGAATCATCCCACCATTGACCCCAGAATTCGGTCAGAGCTCGAAACACACTACATATCAGGTGATGTCCTGACCAGCCGCATGTGCAGATTTCAAGCAAGAGTTACGGTACACTGAGAAGCATACGTTGGTCCGTGTCGCACCAACGCACATAGAAGCCCTGATCTAAAGGCTCGTCGTCACTGGACCACCACTGCGCTGGTGCAACGACTGGTTGCAGCACGGCGTACGCGTCGGGACGGCGCTCCCACTGCCTGGAACGTTGTTCCACTGTCGCCCTTGCCATTAATGTATCGCTCCTTGCTAAGAGCGACCACAATACCCTTGGTCGGCAGCACTGCGGGGTACCCGGGCTCGTTAACTTGGGGTCTTCTCCCAAAAGTTTCTTCGCTTTCCGGCAGAGCATTAACTTTATCACGTCTCGCTACAGCAGCGTTCTGGCTCGGAGCCGGCTTTGTGATATTGTTGGCAAGGTGAATTTGGACCCAGGTTAAGGAAAACTCACAGCAGTAGTTTCAAGGGTCAACGAGGACCATTGGGAGCAGGCGGGGTCGATCTCGAGCCACTTTTCGTAGCCATCCTCGGAAGACAAGAGAATCGCGCCGCTGCGTTTTGTCACTGAGGCCTGTCCGAAGACGGTCCTACTCGCATTGACCGCAGCTAGCACGTTCCGGTCCGCCTCGCCGCAGCTGACGCCATACGGAACCTGAACTTCTAGCCGAGCGTCGGTATTGAACGCCTACGCTTGTCCTCAGTATCGGAGGACAGTAATACGAGATCCGATTATACCTGGCATATACTCTTGGACCTGTATCCCAGGCCAGATAGTCCACTCGTAATGGCCTTTAGCCCTTCAATGACAAGGATTGGCGTGGGAAAGGCAAGGTCAACAGTGTATGTCATGCCGGAGGTGTGAGTTGCAGTACGAGTCTACAGAACTCATCATCCATCAGCACGTTAGCACAAAACTCCAACGAAATAGACACGTACGGGGGTAGCCGGGATTTGAGTCAGTGCCGTTTTGTCTTTGATAATTGGCGTAGGTCCCTCTGCGACGAGCTGACCTTTGACGCGCTTCACTGTAATCAAGATGTTCCCTCCGAACAAAGTGAGATCACCCTCCCATAGCGGCTCGATCTCCTCAATGCTACAATCGAGGAGTTGGGACTGCTCGTACTCGTGTACGGCCCACAGCTTAAGTACGGGGGCGTAGTTCACATTCACGAGTTGTTTATCCCTGTATCATGGTGAGAACGGCAAGTCGGGGCTGCTGAGAATTGAAAGACTAGCAACGTACGCAATGCGGCGCCAGACGAGGACAGGGTTCAGATCCAGTCGATCCCCGGCCCCAGTGGTCACGAATCCTAAAAATAGTATTACCCGTGATGAGCGTCAGAAAACGACTCGGACCATGGAAGTTAGGCGTATACGTGCCTGCGCCGACGTCTATAAACCCACCAGTCTTGTTCTCGACGATAGCATGATTAGACTCCACAGTCACAGGTGTCTATGTGGGAATGAGACAAACGCCGGCGATCATTTATGTAACACAACGATTCACCGTAAAAGAATACTTCGGAGGCATTGTCGTACTGTCCTTCTGAAGAATTGAAGACTCTCCAGTCTGATATAACCTAGGTGAGTCGACGTTCGCCCCACCGAAGTAAGCGTACTCACGGAGAGGGGTAGATACTCCTCACCGTGAATCTTGCCGGTGTCAGGGTCGTGGACGATCCGATAGGCAGTCAAATCGCTGGTGCTTCATTAAAAAAGTCTGTCTTACGACGGTAGCCGATCCATTCGACATACCCGTCCCACTGCCACCCTTTGTACTCTGGAGAACCTATCAGTGCCGTTCAATAACTGGACAATGGTCTCGTGCTGTACGCACCCTTGTTGTTAATTGTGAACACTCTTAAAAGGAAGATCAGAAAAGGTCCACGCGCGCGGAACGACAGAGGTGTATCCCTAAGATACTGACTGCCATGCCACCGGCCACACCGTGTTGAATGTATCCGCGCCCGGCGGGACGAAGGCGAACGTGAGGCTGACCCGTCCGACGAGGTTTTCCCTATCGAACCATTACGGGTCAGTAGGTATAATGAATAGCACAGTAGATGCAAAACGTGCCCAGTGATGGTAATGGTTTTTGACTCGCTGGCCATAGTAAGAGGGTTGTGGTGACAGCGGTGGAAGTGGACGGTGGACTCAGAGAGGGAAATCCGACGGTCATTCGCAATTCTGGATTGCTCTTGCGTATACATACCTGCATTCTAGCCCAGGATGGTGGGTCCGACATTCAAGGACCGGAAAACACTGAGGCCGGATTAGGCTTCCATACAGATGTCACGGTGGTCCCTGACGTTGTCTGAGGGTAGTCGTCAGAGAGACCAATGGGATTACTCTCTTGGATCGGCAGGAATAGAGCCGGAGCTGCATTCTCCGTAACTCCATAAAGCCTCAACCAATCTGTAAGACCCGTAAATAGACCCGCGCCGGATGGGCAGGTGTCGTTGCTTACCATTCCTCAGGCAGACTGGAGCCTCGGGTCGAGTCGTTCAAATAGAATCCATCCACTAAACCGCAAATGGTAGTATCGTCGGAGACAGAGTTGCTGAACGCGTGAGTAGAAATTGGCCGGCGGCCATGATCAAACGGGCCCGGGAATCCACTGTTTGACAAACTGTGGGTCCCGCCCGCTGTTTGTGCCGCCGTCTCAATCATAACGGCGAAAAGCTGTGCAACTGGCGGTTGTGAGCTCGACGAATTGCGAGGTAGTAGACGCATTCCTTCCCGTACTTTCCTTTGAAACAATCCCCGGGTTGGCCGTTGTGCCTGACATCTAGACTTGCTGCTTGCTGGTCAGTACCCGGACGCCCTGAGCAGAGAAAACGATAGAAGACCACGATTGGCCCACGTCCGCCAACTTGGGTGATGGCAGACGTCATCGGTATGGGCTTATTACTCGGATTCGTCTTAAAAGTATTCTACGTACGCGTTTCGAGAATCGAGCCTCAGGAAAGTTAGAGGTTAGAGAATGCATCCGCCGTCGTATGCCGTATAGGTAATAAAGGAAGTTTCGGTGTTATGATAGAGAAGTAATGCCATGCATTGTGCATGGTGATTAGGCTTATGACATGCCCAGGACCCTGAGGTAGTATATACGCCGGTAGTATCGGACGAGAACCTTGGACCGGACGTCTGCCACGCTGGCACCAGTGGTGGTAGTAGGTCCAAAGGCGTGGGAAAACGCCTGGCGCCCAGCGCGTTGACAATTCCGATCGCATCGGAGGTCGTTGAGTTTCTTCCTGAGCAAGGCAGAGGCTCAACGGAGTCAACTGACTTTTTTCGAGACTGAACTGAATAAATCATGGTCAGATATTGGAGTGTTTTATTCCGAAGTAGGGAATTTGGGAATGTCGAGTCCCAACTTGAATGGACTAGTTAGAGTTACTTATTCAATTGCGAGGTCGACAGGCGTTGTAGTAGCACCCGGTCGTTGTGAACTGTGCACACTGCTCAACCATGACTCATGTCGATAAAATAGGACTATATTAGAGAGCAACAACCTCTCGAAGCACTGCATGAGTCGAGGGCAACATATCGCGAGACACTCGGGCCACTTATTAGGAAACACGTGGAGAGGGGTTCCGGCGAACTTTGTGCCTTTATTAGGCCCCCAGGGGGAGCGCAGAGCGACGGCCGCCACCAGCGCGACGCACAGACCTGAACTTGGTCTCCGGCTGGACAGGAGCAGCAGCCTCAGTAGCGGCAACCGCCTGGCCGTTACCGTTCAGGATGGCGGCGGCACTAGCGGAGCCGTTGACCTCCTTACCACTCTCGGAGACGTTGGCCTTGGCGAAGGCATCCCCGTTGGTGCCATCGAATGCGGCATTAGGGCTCTGTTATGATATGTTAGGACCTGGGGCAGGTCGTAGTGAGCGATTTGCGACGTACGACGACAGTCACAGCGGCGGCGTGGAACCATTGGCGGCTGGCTGGGTTGATGTCCGTCCACTTCTCGACCCCGTCTTCGACAAACCGGAGCGACTCGCCGCTGTGGCCCGTGATGAAAACCCTGCCGTACGTGTTCGGCAGCAATTTGATAACTTTCAGTGTATCCCGTTCGGCGTCGTTGCAGCTTGTGAAGACGGGAAGGCCCAACTCGAGGCGAACCTGCGTGCCACCCGCCGCCTAAGGTGAGGCCGACTGTCAGCCTTTAGATTTAGGCAATCTTAGGCGAAGTTGGATACCTTGTGGGTGACTCTAATAGGATAGTAGTCCCGGATCAATTGCTTTGCGATGGCCGTCGCACCCTCGTAGGCGAGGAACGGGGTGGCGAACGCGAGCTCGGCGGTGTAGTTGACAGCCTGAAGCATAGTGAATTCATGATGTGCTCCAGGTAACTAACATGTATACTCACAGGGAACTGAAGGTCAATGTTCAAACTTGTTCCTTTAGCGAAGGCGACCGCGAGCCCGGGGAAGACCTTAGGGCCCTTCACGACGAGTTGACCGCCCTCGCGAGATACGGCGAAGTTCAGGTTCGGCCCCAACGTGTGGCTAATGTCACCCTGCCAGAGAGGCGCGACATTCGGCAGCTGACCGATCAGCTGAGATTCAGTGACATTGGGGAGGTTGGCCCAGATGGTCAGCACTGGAGCAAAGCTGACGTCCACAGTGTTGCCGTCGCTGTAAAAGGGGCTGTCGGTATTCAACAGACGAAGAGAGGCCTTCGCGTACGTACGGGACGGGGCTCCAAACGAGCGCAGTGTGGAACTCCGTGTTAGGGTCAGAGCCAGTGATGTAGCCTGGAAACAAGAACGTTCAACTTGTTTTTTAAGGATCTGGACGCATAGAAAGAAGTCACTAACCAGAGCCAATGTCGACAGCCTTTTTGGTCCTGTTAACGACTGCCGCTGTGTTCGGATCCTGGGAGGTTTCCGGTTCC